ATTCCCATGAGCAAACAAACGTTCACTTTACAAAGATATTTTAATTTTTTAAAACAAATTAATCACTTTGTCAAAATCCTTTGTGTTACGGCATTGAAATTCGAACAATACGTTATTTCAATGATTTTGGGTTTTTTTGAGACACCCTGTATATATATATATATATATATATATATATATATATATATATATATATATATATATATATATATATATATATATATATATATATATATATATATATATATATATATATATATATACATATAGTGAAGATTTTCAAAATCAAATTACTTAATCTTCACTACAGATATATATCGATGTAATGTAACCTAGCATCATTCCTGATGATGACTGAATCTTAGTCGAAAGCTAGAATATTAAAATGTTTATTTTCGGAGTTACCCACGTTGTTTTATATTATATAAAGTTTTATACTTAGTACAAAAATGAAATGGAAAAAACAAAATATTTATACTCATTAAATTCACTGGAAGGAGACTAGGAAACAAGCTACATATCGGATGCAGAACTGAATAAATGTTACTGCAAAAGCCAATGAAGCCGACAGGGTTATATTCTGTGTAAAGCTACAATCTATATAGATCATTAAGTGCTTTGAAAAGATTGAAGTTCTAGAGGTGTGCAAATCCGATCCGAAACCGATTGGATTCGTTCGGATTTCGGAATCAAAATATTCATTTCGGATTGGATCGGAATAAAGTTGTTTTGTAGTCGGATCGGATCGGACTTCGATATCGGAAATAAAATGAATTAATTATCCATGCATTATCGCAAGAATTAATTATCCATGAATTTATCACGCATTATCGCGGTTGTCGCTGCATTATTCGTTTGACACTTCAATTGGACGTCACTTTGTCAGCTTCTTGACATGTATTTCTGCCTTTTATATTTATTTGGTTAAATATTCAACTTGAATGAGAAATATATTTTATTAAAGAATTCTTCGGATCGGATTGGAATTCTTTATCAAAACTCGGATCGGATTCAGATTAAACAATTTCTGATCGGATTTTAAACATTAGACAATTGTTGGATTATAAACGTCCAATCCGATCCAATGCACATCTCTAATAGCCAAGGCTCCTCGGATGTTTGACCACATGCTTTAATTTCAGGTTTGAAAACCTGAAATTTCTTACTAAATGTGCTCTCAGAACGCAGCAAATGCCATTTCAGGGAATGGCGATTCCAATTTTTAAAATTTTCTGGGGGAGCATTCCCCCATACACCCTTAGAAATCTTGTGCCTTCGGCACTCCCTCCCCACCCCCCACCCCCCACCCCCAATATTTCGCAAAGTTTCCACCACTGTTATGTAATGCATATTATAGTGTACTGCAAAGTCAACTGGGTACTTCCATAACCCCAACCTTAAACCTAACCCCTAACCTATATTGGTTCGCGAAACATGGAATGATAACCTTTTAAAATTTTAATTCTCAAATTTTTAATATTAATTGTTTAATGTACAAAATGTACTTTATTATTATGTAACATGAATTTCTGAAAAACTGCAGGACTGGTACATGTTATTTTGCATTAACCATTTTGCAAGCTTTAATTAATGTCAAATTTAAATTAAACTGAAACGCTTTGTAACATATTTTGAAATGTTAATTCAACTAAACTGCTTTTGGCGATAAACATAAATTTATTCACTTTTAAAATAAATAAAATAAGTTCAAATTATTGAGTAATTTCAGCTCTGTGTTGAAATCAATTTGCTGCCCTTTAGATTTGTATGTTTCTTTCTTATTTAGTACTAAACAGGGCAATTTAGGGACTAGGGTACACTGAAAAGAAAGCAGTGCATATTTTACACAAAAATTAGAGCAACAAAATTATAAACATTCAGAGCAAACATTCGAACCGACCTGACCGCGTAGACCTGACCGCGTAGCTCAGTTGGCAGAGCATTGGGCTAGTATTCCAAAGGCCGTAGGTTCGATTCCCACCGTGGCCGGGCATATTTTTCAAGCTCGCCCGGTGTGGATACACACTCAGAGTAACATCACAAACATCATATTCAGACACCTGAGTACACAACACCAGCACAGAAAAAATTCAGAGCAAACTTGCCCTACAGTATATTTCATGATTACCCAGTGAGAGTAAATCAATTTGTCTTATTTCTTCAAAGCAAAATTGCTTCAAAGATTATTGTATGAAACAATTTTCCAAATATTGAAATGGGTCAGTCCAGAAAACATCCATACCACCCCCATGGAAGAAATAGGAAGTTAACCCCCCTACCCCTTTCGGATGTCCTAATACATTATTATCAGAAACAATTTTTTCTCCCCTCCCCCTCCCCCTCCGGATGGCAGAAATTTCCTCCGGGGGAGTATGGATCTTTTCTGGAACGACCCAATCTTGCATATCCCAATATTTTATGCCTATATACACATAATGAAACATAGCCACATGTCAGCGATTATTGGGAAACTTTAGACTTTGTTAATGCTTTCCTTTTCCTTGCCTCAGGCTTACACTTGCCTCAGGGAAAAAAGGAAGCACCAATCCAGTTGCTCAGACTATTTGATTGGCTTCCTTTTTGCTAAATTAAATAGTCCAATCAGAGGCTTTGTTTACAAATCTTTTGTGAATTTCAACTCACAATTTGTTCTTGTTGCTTGCAAATTGCTCAGAGCAATCTCCCTATCAAAATTGCAATATTGCGAGACAATATTGCAATGTTGCTTGCAAGAGAACATCCGGTTTGACTGTAATGCACTTATCATTTGTTTTCACCACCCCTTGTAGGGCAGGGGATTTGACAACAAATTCTCAACCTGGAGACGGGCATTTGACATCAAATTGCGTCAAATTGTACTGGACATCTTGGCTTGGGAGACTTAATGGGGCGACTAATGGTATCTTGACGTTTGTCAACCTCATGCTGGACATTTTTCAAAATAAGTTGTTTTCAAGATGGATAATCGATCCAAGTATGGATTATTATTATGGATTATTGTTCAAGTGCTGAAATAGAGATATTTTTAAAGAAACAAACCTTTCAGATGTGGCAGAGATGAGAGATATTCAAAAGTTGTTTTTTTTTACCCTTTAGAATATGTTTTTATTGTTGTGACACAATATTTTTTATAATTGTGTATGACTAAATCTTTCGAATTATATGGCTGGACCACGTTACAAATATCCTGAAATTGTTAACAACTCCTACCCTTCCCACTGTAGGTATTTTGACTTGAAAATTGTACCCTTGAGTAGGAAATTTTACAAAAAAAAATTACAAAATGTCATAAAATTTACATTACAAGAAATGAAAACATAATGCACAGACCTGTCAAGTTTTGAAAAATTTTATGCGGGAAGGTAATTTCCTTAGGTTAGTGTCGACAAGGCGCCACCATAGTCGGCGTGCCCTGGGGGAAATTTTGAAATTTGAGTTCCCCAGATCACCAGAAAATTGGCTTTCCGAGGTTTTTCTTCCGCCTTTTTCGAAGCACATGTGTCCATGCTATAAAAATGGGAAATTTTATTTGTCGCTCCTCCTTCACAAACGGCAAAAAATAGCGCCTCAGGCGTCTCCCAGCTTTTTGTCTCTTTTTGATATGCGATTATGACACACATTTTCAAGACTTCTCAAGACTTCTGGGTACTACTCCAGTTTATAGGAGGGTGTAATATACTGATCAATTCGAAACTTCAACATCCTCCGGGCATATCCCGGGAATTTGACTTCAAGTCTTCTCTGTTCAGGGAGTAGGGAATTTGACGTTCTAAGTCTTCCATGTGGTGGTGGAATTTGAACCGGAAGTCTTACAATTCTGCCCATTTTCGCATGCTTCCTGCATGCACCGAAAAGACTTCACATTGGCGGCAAATAGAGTTTTCTCAGATTCCGAGGGAAACTGCCTCAATTTTGTGAAAAACTGGCTCAAAGAAACGGGCATGGAAAAGCTATGTGCTTCATTTGAAGGTATGTACTACAAATTTGTGTTAAACTGTTAAATTTCCATAAGGTTTCCAAACTTTTTAAGTGATTTCGCTATCTTGCTGAAAAACATTTCCGTATATTTTGCACTTTTTGTATTTACTGTTTCATAATTTTAATATGAAGGTGGGGCATTTGAACGCTTCATTTCCAGGGCCGTAGCAACCGGGGGGGCTAGGGGGCTGCAGCCCCCCCAATAATTTGCTAATAATCATTCTTTTTTCAAAATCATGCAAACTTTATCATTTAATCTGTGACAAACTGCAAAGAATGAAGATATTACTCATACTCCAGATCGTTCCTCGCGTAGAAATTGTAGCTGAATTTCTGTCGCGCATTTTCAAGAAAATCCCACAAAATCTGCACATTTTTGATGAACTAATGATTTATTTTGTCTTTTTCGTGTTGGGTCTTGCGAAAGAAAACTCTGAAAATGCCATTTCAGACCATCTAGAGACTCCAGATTTTCGAAATTTTCTCAAATGTTCTGCCTTCATTTCCGCGCAACTGCCATTTACGACGAAAATTCCCGCCGCGCATTTATAATACTACAGTCTGGCCCATACTTTCCTGTAAATTTCGACATACTAAAACGCTGTTTTCTGACTATCAGAATTCTGTTAAATCTTCCCCCAAAGTCCAGGAAATGGCATTTTAGACACTCTAAATTTAAAAATTTCCTCGGCCTTCGGCCCTCGCTTTCAGCCCCCCCAATCGAAAAGAGCTTCCTACGGCCCTGATTTCTTGTTACAGTGGGGCATTTGAAGACATTTTTGGCACAGGGGGTGGAGAATTTGATCAGTCAAATTCCCGGGGTCGGCCCGGGGGGAGGGGGGCAAGTTGAAGTTTCGAATTGATCGATACATAAACAATACCTATCCGACAAATATATCTCTAAACTGATATACTTGAAGAGTCAAATCCCTACAAAAGCAAAATCGTATACCTTTCAGAAAGAGAAATAAACAAAATTCGCAGGGAATCGCAGCTCTATGGACGCAAATTTTGAAATTTATACCTCGGAAACTTATACGACAGCATGAGCATTCCTTGAATCACACTTTAACAGTTCGTACCGCGGTCTTCTTCACCTCAAATCATTCCAAGTAATTTCCACTTCTTTTCAGAATAACACTAGTCTATAATCACATCATTTTTCTCTTCAAAAGAGTTAATATTTTTGCAAAAGGTATAGATTATATTCAGTTTTCACCACAATACAAAATCAAACCATGCATTCATGCCCGCGCATTGTGCTTCCACTTATCAAATTCGAATATCCTTAATATCCTAAATCTCGTATTAATTTTTTGGTGCGATCCAAAGGTAATTTCAGGTTTTAGCACATGAAATACTGTCAAAATGAAGAGAAAAGT